GCAGCAGCCGGGCGAGGGGCTGCTCGGAAATACTTCGCCCCCCTGGTTTGGGGCTTGCGAGTTGCTTGCAGGACACCACCTCTCCCTCCCCTCCCTCTGTTCTCTGTCTCTCCTGCTCAAACATGCAAGCTGTTACTGTGCACCAGGGTCAGCGGTTTCCAAACCTCGCTTTTTTTTTTAAAAAAAAAATCTTATTTTTCCCCTCCTCCCCCTTTTTTTTTTTTTTTTTTTTTGTTGTTGTTTTGGGCTGTCAGATTGCTAGCACGAATAAATGCAGCGAGGCAGGAGCATCGTGTGGAGGAGACGGGCACGGTGGATGTCAGCCGTGGGGTGGGGCTGGAAAGGGCAATGTAGGGATTTCTGTGCCGTGCTGATGGGCGCGATGGAAAAAAAAAAATAAAATCTCAGCCTGGAGATGCTCAAAAGTTGATGCGTGCTTGGATTAAAATCGCTGCTCAAGTCGGTTGTGTGGTATTATCTTCATGCTGTGTATGCTCGTGGAGGTGGTATTTGCTTCTTGCTCTGGACGAAAGCAAAGGTCTCGACTTGCCAGGTCTCTCCTCTCCACCAGCCACCAGAAATCTCAGGCTGAGCCGACCCCTTCTGCCCAAAGGGTCCCTTTGAGAGAGGTGCTCCCCACCTATCCTTGGCAGCCAAGGGCACTTCTGCAGGGTTTTCTTTGGATGAGCGGGTGCCTCCCGCCCTTCGCTCGTGGAAATAGCGCAAAAGCGTTGCTGTGTTCTGCCAGTCATGCCTCCCCCAAACCCCAGGGCTCGAGGTGCCCTGCCTCCGGCGCGGCCCTACTGCAGAATACTGCAGTGTTCCCCCGGACAAGGGCAGCTTGTCTTCCTCCCGGGGCCGGCTGGGAAGGATGCGGTCGTTGGGAGATGTTGAGGGAGGCATCAGATCATGGGGGGACCGCCAAAATTTAAAGGCAGCGAGCAGTGGTCATGCATGCTGCACTTCTCCTGGCCGGGGGCGCGGGGATTTCTTTGGGTGTTTGAATCGGTGCAGGGCTGATGAGAGCAGGGAGGGCTGCGGGAGAAAGAGCCGCCAAGTAGCAGTGGAGGAGGACGGGCTCTGCTCTAGGAAGGAGCCTGGCAGAGGTGAATGGCTTCTAGTGTATTTTTTTTGGGGGGGGGTGGAGAAGCTGTTTGCACTAGAAGTTATTTTTTGGCAGGGGTTCATGTGCACTTCCCTCTCGACAGATCTTAGGGGACATTTAATTAAAAGCATGGCTTGTCAGGAGCAGGCAGATTGCGGAGAGGAGGGGGAGTGTGCGTGTGTATCTGTCAAGACAATGCTGCAGTCCTTGGCGGTGGTGTTCCTTGGGCTCTCAGCCCCCTTGTATAACGACTGCACTTTAAAATAAACACCCCCCACCCCCCCCAAAAAAAAGGCAGGGAAGGATCACAAATCCTGGAATCATTTTAGCGGGCTGTGCGGGGAACACGCAGGAGATGTTCTGTTCCAGATGAAGTGCGGTTTTGGGTTTCAGCACAGAGGGACACCGAGTATGTTTATGCTCTGCTTCTTTCCATAAGTGATGCATCTGATTTTTCTTGCTCTTACGCAAACTGGCCTTTGCTGTGTGGATTTTTTTTTTTTTCCTTTCCTTACACATTGTTACTTGTATGGGAATGCTGCTCATCAGAAACATGTTGACATGAGCTTATGGAGATGGGCACAGGTGTGAATATTTTTTTCTTAATCCACCATAGTAGTGGAACCTGTTTTGTGAACAGGCAATTACCGAGGGGGGAGGTTGGGAAGGAATCACAGCAGGTCTTTTAGCAGAGTGGTGGTTGTTAAGGTTTAAAAAAAAAAAAAAATCTGCTTGTTATTTAGCATGAGTAGAACAAATAATTTTTACCTGTGGTTGAGTTTGGTGCAGCTGATGCTGTACTGCTGCTGAGCTGCACTAGGGTCCTTTGTGAGTTGTGCACAAAGGATCGTGACGATTTCGCAGAAAAAGTAGCTATTTTTTGACAGCTAACCAGAACCTTGCAACCCATCGCACCTTTAGTAGTAAAGTGAAAATTAGCATTTTAAGCGCTGTTTCACGTAGCCAGGTCTGTGTGGGCAGGCTTCTGGCAGAACCTTGGAGACGTTGCGCAGGGGTCTGCCCACACATACCCAAGTGCACTATCTGTGCCTGTTCCTCATCGCAGGCTGCGATCAAGGCCCCACATGCCCTGCAGTGCTGAGGGATTTGCTTGCTGCAGCATCTGCCTTTTTTTTTTTTTTTTTTCTTTTTTTTTTTTTTAACAAAATAATTTGCAGGTTCTCTTTATCATATGTATTGCTCTGCCTTCAACTTAGTTGTAAAGATGGTAGGGTTAATCAACAGCGTATTAAAATCACTCTGAAGTCTTGCCAGTGGATGCAGATGGGTGCTGCAGCTGAGGCGATGAAGATACAGTACGCGTGGACTGATTTTTCTCTTTGTTCACACTAACACTGAACTAGCTCAGGTGTACCTGTTGTTAGTTTTGAGCTCTCCTTGATCTCTACAAGGTTATGGAAACCGGAATTACAGTCCTGAGTAATGTGATTGTTTCCATTTGTCTCTGTACTGTGTTAACTTTGAAACTTAATGAGGGCAATATATGCCAATGTGACTAACCCATCACATTTTTTTGATAGCAAGGTTATCTCTTGAATTGCCTTGAAGGTTTTCTCCAGAACCAACAAATTTCTCTCCCATCCTCTACCAAAAATAATCTTGTGGTTAATATTCAACAAAACACCCTCCAGAATAATCCAGCAGAGAGCTAAGTGGTTTAGAGGAACGATATTACTGAGTTAAATATAAGAATGGATAATAAACACCCCATTTGTACAGCACTTTAATGTACGTCTGGAACTTCAGTATCCTGACGAGGGAAGTCCATGTCTTCCATGCAAAACAAGGGTCACATTTGTTGAGTACCGTGTGGTGTACACGGTGACAGGGTTGTTTGTGGAAGGTCTACAATGGGAATTGTACTTGGCCGTTGTGCTCTAGAATTGGGCTTCGATGCTTTGAGATTTCAAGATCAGATTAAAGAATCATAAAGGCGGGAAAAAGCCTGCCCATCCCATCCTTAAGTTTTGGTCCATTGTCACAGCCCTGGTGTTTCCTACGATACATCACAGAGTGTGTGGCACTTACAATTTGTTACACTCTTATGCAAGGTCTTTTTTGATGCAATCAAGGTTTGTAGAAGCAAAAATAAAACCTGTGTGTCCCCTCGGAGGAGCAGTTTTGTGTGCTGCATCCAAACGCCGTGCAGTTTCTCTTTGAACGCGGCATACTTTCTGTAGCTCCCTGTGGGAAGGGAGTATTTGATCAGAATGGTTTGTAGCTCATTTCTGGCAATTGAGAAATGGGATGCTCTAATGTGCTGTTAATTTCAATATTTCTTGTAGTGCAAAGCAAATCAGTGCAGATAATTTTTGGGAGGGCCTGTGGCGGATAGGTTTCAAAAGATCTTGTCTTCTCACACAGAGCAGGTTCTCTTTAATGCTGCTTTTCTTTCTGAGTCTTGATTTTACGTTCCTTTTTAACCGCATTGTTCTCTGCTATCTTGAAGGAAAAAGGAAAACAAGAAAACACCTCTGAAAACGTTGAAACTGGCAGTGTTTGTAGCTCATCACTTGCTTGATGCTGGTTCTTTTCCTTTTTGCATGTTCTTTATTTGTCTCGCCTCTTCTGCCAGCGTGGGTTTTGGCAGGGCAGGGGCTTGCTGTGTGTGTACAGCACCTGACACCCTCGGGGTGGGCATGGGGAGAAGATGAGTAGTGAGCAGTTGGATGAATGCAGGTTGTCTGTGACTTCGTTTATTCCAAATTTTTATGGGTCTGGTGCGGATTACCAAGTGGTCTTGCTCCTCTCCCCGCATGTGAGGGATGTGCAGGCATGAGGGGGGACTACAAACGTCGCCCTGTCAGTGAACAAAAACAGGGTTCCGAAGGAGGAGTGAAAGCTTAGGAAACTTTAGAGATTTTTTTAAGTGTATGTGCCTTATTTATAGTTGTTTAGCTGAAAACTCAATAAAATCAACCTTTTGCTTTTGGCAGTAACCTCTACGTTAATACTATAAAGGAGGTGAACCCTTCCCTTCACTCTGCTGCTGCTGCTGGGACTCTTGGACGAGAGGGGGGTGCGCCTTTGCTTCCAGCCATGCAAAGCTCTCGGTCAAAGCAGAAGATGTGAACATATGGGCATGAGAAACATTTATGTTTTTGCAGCCTCTTATCTCCTGTTAGGAAGTGACCGGTGAGAAGCAGAGTTTTAACCTTGCTTTTTTTGTGGAAGATGGAGCTGGGGGGTGGTCACATCAAGGATTAAGAGCCATTTGTTCAGTAGGCGTGATTTGCTTGCGAGGAATGGCCTTGTGCTGTTCACACAAATAATATAAACTGAGTGGGGGAAAAAAATATTTGTTGAAAGAAATAGAAATGCTGAGACAGTTACTATGGGAAGTACAGCTGTAGGTCTTCTGCATTTGTGTTAATCCAGG